GAGAGCTAACATGCTTGAGCTTTAAAAATATAGGAACGAATTTATTTTTAATCCATTTCAGCGATTGAGTCTGCTGGGAAACATTTTCTTAGAGCTCAGGGAAAAAAAAGGTTCTTTCCATGACAGCTAACACGCTTGAGCTTTAAAAATGTATGAAAGAATTTTTTTTAATCCATTTCAGCGATTGAGTGGGCTGGGAAACATTTTCTTAGAGCTCAGGGAATGTGTGTCTAGGTTGAATGCACAGCACACACGGATGGGAAGTCGAAACTCGAGTGGCTTAAAAAATAAATATACGAAATTTGGGTTATCGAGCTGACTAGGAAAAATTCTCAGAGTTCTGGAAATAATTCTGAGTTCAAGCATGGGACATGAGAACAGAAATGTATTACAATCATCATGTCATCATTGTTTTCGAAAGCCAAAAGAATTCCTCATGAAAGAACATCTTTTTTTCCTGGTTGTGGGATGGAGTAGAGAGTTGCTGCATCTTGAACAACCCACACTGATCTGAACAGAAACATGAAATGTTCTTATAGATATAAGAAATGAATGAATTGAAAGTGAAAGTAAAAATGAAATTGTATTGGCTGGAAATATTTCTTGGCTGTTGAATTGGAAAAATATTTCCAGAGCTAAAAAAAAAAAAAAAAAAAAAAAACTCTTCCTTTTTTTTTCTATTAATTTGATGTCTTCACTTTGTTTACTTTGGAATGGAGAAACCCAAAGACTTTTAAAACATATCCTTTTTAAAAAAATCTATAAAACTTTAAACTCATCCTTTTAAAACATATAATTCCTAGAATGAGTCATGGTCTATTTTTAGAAACAGTGAGACAACATTCCCACACAAAAGGGGGTAGGGTTAATTTTTATCATGTCTAGAAGACATGATAAAAATTAACAAAAAGTTTTTTTTTTTTTTTTTTTTTTTTTTTTTTTTTTTTTTTTACATCTCAGATTTTTTTTTCTGAGCTCTGAAAATTTTTTCCCAGTCGGCAACCAATTGAAAAATTTCCAATCGGCTTTTACTTTCACTTTCAACTCTTTTCTATAAAAGCATTCCACGTTTTCTGTTCAGAACCGTGCGGGCTCTCCATGGTGCAACATGCTTTTTTTCTCTCTCTCTACCTCATCTGCAGCTAGGTGTTTTTCCTTCTTCAAGAAGTGGAATTTTTTGGGAATACTTACAATTTCACGAGCTAGCTGTTTCTTATATTTCGAGGAGATTTCAATGGAATTGTTTATAGATGTCACCTATTGCAGATGGGGAAAAAGTCTATACTGGATCGCTGGAGACATCTCACCCAGATAGGTCACGTTATATTTTTTTCCCACACCTAAATAAACTGGACATGAGCCATCCTTTTGTTTTCTCATCCAACAAAGATAGACACTGCAGACCGTTTTGGGTTTTCACTCTTCGCGAACCGAGACGAGCCGCAGCGACACTTTGCGTTTTCTATGAGCGCAATAATGGATTACGTGAGCAGCCATTTTGTTTCCCATCTCACCCAGATAGGTCATGTTGTATTTTGTTTCATGCACCTAGCCAATTTTGGACATGAGCCATCCTTTTTTTTTTTTTTTTTTGTCTATCGAACCAAGATAGACTCTGGAGACAATTTTGTTTCTCAACGGAAAAGTAAATTTTCTGAATGGGTACCGGTGTTCGAATACTTTTGTGGCCGACTGTAAGAGCTCCTATGGTGCATGTGTCTACATTAGAATTGTAACGGGCCGTGGGAGCCAAATTCGGTTTATCAGAGCCAAATCCAGGGTAGCGTCGTTGAAATCTCTGACAATACCTCGGTGCATCGGCGCGAGACTGGTTCACTCAGTATACGCCGCGAGACCGGTTTACTCATTATACGCCGCGAGACTGGTTCACTCAGTATACGCCGCCTTAGATTTGCGTGATTTGAAAATAATTGCATGGAGTGACTCTATGGTAGCACACTAGTGGATTGAGAACCGTGGTGATTGGTCAGTTTTCGTTAAGAATAGGGTAAAAGAAATAAACAGTCTGATTCTTTCTCAGTGTTGGCGCCATGTACCAGGTGATTTAAACCCGGGAGATCTGCTTTCAAGAGGGAGTTCCCCTTGTTCATTTTCCGATTCGCTTTGGTGGGAGGGTCCATCCTGGCTCCTGGAACCTATTAACAACTGGCCAGGTAGAACGAGAAAAATGCAAGGTCAGGTTATGTAACCTTAATTTAGTTGAAGAGGAAATACCTTGGTATGCCATTAGGTTTTCGAATTTTCAATCCATCATTCGATTAGTCTCATGGACATTGCGGTTTGGGAAAAACGCAAAAAGTAAACGTGCATTTCGAGAGACTGGAGATTTAACCGTTCATGAGATGGAATATGCCGAAAAAAATTCTTATAAAAATTGTACAAAATAAGTATTTTCCCTCCTATTCCCAATATGAGTGTCATTTCAGACAGAGAGGGTATAAAAAGGGTGAAAACGCGCATTACAGAGCGATCAGATGATCCTGAATTTATTTGTCCAATTATTTTACCAGACCAGTGCATTTTCACCCAGCGTCTGATCGAATATTATCATTTACAAAATTGCCACGTTGGGAACCCAAATATTACTCGGAACATTAAGGGAGCGATTTTGGATAGTAAGGGGCAGAAGAGCGGTCAGGAAAGTCTAAAAAATTGTGTAAATGCAATCGATACAAGGCCAAGTAAGCCGGTTGGAGCCGGTGTCTCTAACAGGCGATCATGTCAATGACGCAGCGGTGTTCGATGTGGTAGGAGTTGATTTCGCAGGACCCTTGTATCTGAAGGGAGGTGAAAAAGTTTGGATTGTTTTGTTCACATGTGCAATATAGGGAGTCGTTCATTTGGAGTTGACTTCCTCATTGTCTACCGACGCATTCTTGTTGTCGTTGAGACGATTCGTAGCGAGAAGGGGGAGGCCGAGAGTAATTTACTCCAACAACATAACTAATTTTAGAGGAGCACAAACAGAACTTAATAACATAGATTGGGAAAACATTTGTAAACGGCTATGCAACACATAATGTGGAAGTTTAATCCTCCTCCAGCGGCTTGGTGGGGCGGCTGGTGAGAGAGGTTAGTTCATCTAGTAAAGGAATTGTTGAGAAGGACACTCGGTAACGCGGTTCTCTCAACCGAGGAGTTGTATATAGTATTATGCGACTGTGAGTCAATAATTAACTCTAGACCTCTTACCTATCTGTCCGAAAATTCGGATGATTTAATCCCACTTTCCCCAGCCATGTTTCTCATCGAGAGGGCTAGACATCGCCAAAAACTACTTAATGATTTAAAGCAACTAGTTTAGATTTAGGAAAGAATATTTAGGCCTTCTGGTCCATAATAAGAAGGGTCCATCGTCAGAGCTACGACTGGATGAAACTGTCCTAATAGGAGATGACATCAAAAAACGGATGCACTGGCCTTTAGCTAAGGTCATTCGACTGATTCCCGGGAAGGATGGCAAGATGAGAACTCAAGCTGGTAGGCTGCTTCGTCCAATTCAGCGAGTCTTTCCGTTAGAAGTGCAGTTAACGGACACCCCCACTGATCCCATACACGATAACTCTTTTATTAATCCTATTTCTTCTATTTCTAGTGAGGAGCATTCAGATTCTAATGACTCTAGTAACATCCTGCAAGGTGCTAAAATGTCAAGATTTGGACGTATGATCAAGGTGCCTCAGAAATTAGATCTCTTCGATCAGGTACTGTATGTCTTTGAGCCAACCTGAAGTCGACTAAAAGAGGGGGAGAATGTAGAAGACGGCTGCTTCAGACAGACGATTACATAACGGCTGGGCGAAGGACAGAAGGAGCGCCGCTTTTGATTGGACTATTTTTTTATTATTCTTTTTTTTCTTTCGTAAACTGCGAACTAAGTCGTGGAATTCCCTTTTCACTCAGTTATATATATGTACTAATTAGAGTAAGGTGACCAGATTTTAACATTGGTGAAGCGGGACACCATTGACCGGGGGGGTGATTAAACATTTAGTTTATACAGACTTTTGACTGTAGTAATATATTTTCAAAGTTTTAACACAAGTACAATTTACAAATACATTAAAAGAAATTATGTATAATATTATTTTATTCTTTGGCATATTTCTGGTTTGAGTGAATTTTGTTTAGCAGATTGCTGTCGTTGTTTGAAAGGTCATAAAAATTTTCATAAAATGTTAAATTATATTTCACACATAAAATGGCTTTCAAAGTCTCAACACTTAATTGTGATTTTTCTGATGTCTGCACGTTATTTACCGTGGAAAAAAAGCGCTCAGTCATAGCATTAGTTCCTGGGGTATTCTACAGTTTTTAGTGCATTATTGTATGAAACATGGTTTGTTTCAAAATGATGAAATATTTCTAACTATTTGTTTTCTATTGTGAACCCTGATGTCCAAGATTTAACCTTTTCCTTATCAATATATTTTTTAATAATGATGTCTAATTAAAAAGATCATTTTCAGAAATATTACTATATGGGAAATTTTGAGTAATATGATTGAATGATTTTTCCCTAACTTGTCGTGCATTCTTCCTAAAAATTGAGACTTTTTTAAAAAGCCGCGGGACGCGGGACAAAATTTTAAAAATCGGGACTGTCCCGCCAAGAGCGGGACGTCTGGTCACCGTAACGTAACGTTTCCGCCTGTGTGAGATATCCATATTAAAATCTTTATGTTAATAATCCCTGCTGCGATTATTTAATTTGTAACCTGCACGTTGTAGTCCTGAGAGTTGCAAGACAGAGTAAAAGGAGGCACTGTTTTCTGAAAATTAATTCACTATATGTTCTTAATTCTTAGTAAGATGATGTTATATTTCATGGAGGCTCGAAATAATTTTTCTTTCGTTTACCTCAGCTTCTCGTCGAAACGTTACAGCAGCTAGAGCAGACGAGCGAAGTCAAGGTCCGTCTGCTACGGACTTTGCAGTGAAGTCAAAGAATATGTTTGTTGGCGTAGTAGCAAACTGGTGTACATTACTACGTCTATGCAACTTTTCCTTCTTTACATTCATAGAATACACACGGATCGTATTTTATTCTCGAGTGTCAAGATGTAAGACACTCGAGATCTTTTTACTCGGCGTTCTTTGGTGGAGTGACTGCAGAACGAGAGCTTTTGTTTACCCAAGGAAGGAGAGACGTTACTTCTGCGTCCTGGGAGTGTTACTATGGAAAAACGCATAGAAGTCTGCATTTAACGTCTCGTTGAAATATGGGCCTAGTTTCTTTTATTCTCGGTTTTGGTGCAGGATTTTATATTCGAGGTCGTAAGTTTAGAATTCAGATGATCATAGAACCTATAGTATTTCAGGTATGATTTAGTGCTCTTTCTGCTTAATATATTTGCTTAAAACCATCATGACGTTTTTACCTCTGTAACTGAAACCAAAAAGATAATGGCACTGGTATTGGCGCTTTTTTTAAATACATATTTCAGATTATCTTGTTTACCAGTGCAACAAAGTGAACTTCTTAATAATAATTTGATATATTGTTAGACTGGATATTTTAGGCATTATGAGAAATAGACTAACCTAAATGGGCGGGACGTGCTGTGTTCCTACAGAAAGGAGAGGCTGAGACGATCAGCTCTACGTAACAATGAAACCTTTGGCGTTTACACCGCACAGTTGTTTTTAATTATTAAAATCAGATGTATGAGCCATGAGATTGTGAAATTCACAGTGTTTTTAAATTCAAGGCATCTTTAAAAATTACTTTTTACTATATTTTGTTTTGTTCATGCGCAGTTCTTGTTTTTGTATGAAAATTTTTAAAGCTGTAAAAACATTTATTTTTAAAAAGACATTATTTTATATAATTTAATATAATTAATAATGAGTTAAAAATCAGAAACAAAAATTGAGCATTCGTTCGACTTTGACTTCAAATAAAAACTTTGTATATTTTCAGTGTCATTGAAAATATCTATTATCCAGGAGCAAATTATGCTGCCTGTAATTTGGGCCTTGATCATAAGCAGTATAATTTACTTTCTTAAAATGCAGTTTAATGTGGATTTTGCTGAATCAAAATTTCTTTTGTGAACTGTTTACTTGTGAATATATTCTGATACAATTTTAATAATTAGTGTAAATCATATCAAGGTAAAAATATATTTAAGGTTGCCTACACAAAACCGAAATAACAAGTCAAAGAATTGCACAAATTCGGTGTCCATATGCATATCGATCTATTTTCACTTTAAAAAAAAATCAGAGAATTGCACAAACTTGCCATTGTGCATTCCCTTGACTTTATTCTTGTACACATCGATCTATTATCTTTCAAATATATGAGTCTTTTTTTGCATTTTCAATATCTTTTGCATTTGGATTTTCTAAATATCTATTTTCATGACTAACAAGATTTAAATCTGGGCATGTTTTTTAGACAGATGTAACCATTTGCTTATCTAAGGAAAATTAAATTTGTGAAATAGCCATTCCATTTAAAAGGAGCTTTATTTATTCCATAAAAAAACTTCTGTAATTTTAATATTTTATTTGCATGATCAGAACCTGGAAAAATGATGCACAACGTGTGGGCAGTCAAATTTAAGAGTGGTGAAATGATTATCAAACATATTACATTTCTGTAAAAAAAGGTGTCTAATTTTAATTTGCATGTGAGCAGCCAATGGTCTAGGATTAGCAATAAACTTATATTTTACATAGTGTATGAAAACTATAAAAACAAGGCACACAGAAAGTTGAAATATACTTTTTATTAAAATAACTGTATATGAAAGAATTGCAAATTATTAGATTATTTTATGAAATACTTTATAATTTTCATTTCAGTGCTATTTATTAAATTAAAACAAATTAGAGGAGGGAAGATTTCCATAAGGCTGTGTTCACGTGATTCTCTAGCAGTCATTATTGTCATAGGTTTTAGGCATTAAATTCATTCAGCCCATTCACTCCTGTGGAGCAAGGTTTAAGTCGTAGTTAATCAAAAAGGCAAACTTTATGCATATGAATGTGTTGAATGTGCAACTGATACAGCGAAACTGTTAACCGAATCATGTTTGCTTCACTATGATTGGTTGGTTCTTATACCATCTGACATAAAGTTGAACAGATGGAATATTCAGACAAAGTCTATAAACCAATTTGTAAAATGTAGCAAGGTCTGGCTGTCTGGCAACGAAACTAAGCTCTTATTACTTATATATATTGTATCACTTAAACAATATTGATTAATTGATTATATTATCTCCTAAGTTTAATTAAAGTAGAATTATTTTAAAAGAGTGAATCTATACTAGTAAGTTATATTTTGAAAGATGTTTTGAAGTAACTTAAAAGTAAAATGTTAATAATGTTTTAACGGGGACTCGAATTAAATCATCATGAAGAACAAAATTTCAATTGTAAAAGGAAAAATTAAATTAAATGCATGTAATCATTGTCATTGATCGGAAATTAGTTGACTTTTCAAGGGGGGAACACAAACCAACTCCCGTTCAATGAACAATAATAATAAATAAATACGTAAATAAGAATTGTTTCATCTTTACTCGAGTAATAAGGTTAAGCCAAACCGGCAATTCTAGTCAGGCCAAATATTTTCCGTGAATAGAAGGGATTATGAACCAATGCTGATTCTCAAGAACTTATTCCTATGAAGCATTTTAGCCAATTCAATTTTTGAGTGAAAAGCAATTTCTGTAGGGAATTTCCGAAAAAACTCGAGTAACCGTCCCTCAACATCCCCGTGTTTATGCATTTTGAGTTCTATATTATTTGTAAAATTAAAAACATTGGAAATTGTCATTATGAAATAGAATTCAAAGTATAAAGTTGAAATAAACATAAAGATTAACAAATAAGATAATAATGCAAACTTTGTAAAAACAAATCAAAAATAATATAAAAATAAAAAATATAATATAATAAGAACAGTGAATGTACATGAAGATATAAAGGCCAGAAAAAATATTAAGTAACTTACATTCTTTCTAGTGGGGAGTCGGCAAAGTGTTCTCTTCGCATCTGACTCAGAAGTGTAGGGTGTCCGAAAAATTCTTAGCGGCAGCGGAGGCTTTGAATAATATCTGTCGGTAAGACTTGGGTGAAGTAATTTATGGTGTAATTACGGTGGGTAATTATGGTGTAATTATGGTGGTGCGACTCGGAATTCTGGAGAGATGTATTATGTGGAGTTCTTATTTGAGTGAAACTGTCTGTTAAGATTTTTTTGAAAATACTAGTGAATGGAAATTAATTAATTTCTGGCTAATTGTCGTGTTGAAATGATTAAGAATTTAACAAAGGAAAAAAGGAATTTTCACTGTCTAAGAGCTATTAGACAGACTAAAGATTATGAAATAGGCCCATCTTTTTAGTAACAGCATAAGTCTGAAGACAATTAGCATTTTACAATATATACAACTAAGTAATTACACTATATACAAATCCTTCAACTGATAGTCATCCAACTTATACTGCCTTCTCAGGTTTAGGAACAAATTATCATATCCCTATCAGTTAAATGATTTAGAGTGAGTATTTAACCGCCTGCTCTTTTAAGGGCAATGGTTAATAAATTGAATGGATATTAGATTATTTTTGAGAATTTTAATAAGGAGCAAAATTTTGCGTTGTAAATCTATTGTATCTGTGCATATAATTTTAATTCGTTGTATTTGATTTATTATTGTATTGTTAATTACTTTTTTGGATATGTTGGAATTCCAATTTATTAATTTGTTAGTATTGAAATTGAAGTTTCTTGTTTTGTCAAAAAGTAAATTTTTTTTGTAGTTAATGATTTGAAGATCTAGATACTCAACATGCTCATATCACTTATATATAGTCAGCATATTGGTCTTTGCAGCAACTGTAAAGAACTCATCTGATCAATCTCCAAGACGTTTTGTCTCAGACCTCTAATTTTGTAAATAAGGCACTTTTTTAAAATAAATTTATTGTTATATAGTATATTCATCTTTCGCTTTCCATAATATATTAATTTAATGTAATAGAAACATGTGTAATCCACATTTGTGTGTTTAATAGTGTTGTGGAGGCTATGCTGAGTTAATATATGGGATGATTTAATAACTTAAATGATAATTCCAGAATGGATTAAGCATCTTTTAATTCAGAATAATGAAAGAAGACTTTAGAGTTACAACATCAAAGCAAACTCTTTCTTATTTACATTTTTTTTGTTGCCAATCTAGAGAAACTAAACTTCCCTACAGCAAAGATAATTGATACAGAGAGGGATCTGCTACAATAGTTGTTGCAAGTTAAAAATGAAGTTTAGTTAGTACCTCAAGAATTTTAGATCTGTTTTTTGTGTTATGGCATTAATGAAATTTTAATCAGTATTTACTTAATTTTTACAGAAATATTTAGATGTAAGGTATGTGATAAAAATTTTAGTTATTCAACTTAGATACTTGCTATTTAACAAGCATTGTAATTAGCAGATTAAAAACTCCAGTCTTGTTTTAATATAAGTATTATAGCTTCAACTCTATGACTGTATTTAGACCATTTCAAACTTATGTATTATTTGGATCATTAACTGATATTAAATTTCTCCATTATAAACCGAGTAGCATAATAATTGATAATATTTATGGAGAATCTCTGCTGAAGCACACATGGACATGTTACCTGCAGATTTACATTCATCAACATATACGCATTGTGCATGTTAAATACATTATTTGCAAGATGATTTCATTCAAAAAAAGATCAGTTGATAGCAATTTCAGTGAGGTTATAACTGTATTGTAAGAACCAACAAGTGAATTCCTCATGCCGAAGATAATCTGCAGCAGACAATGTGTCTACTCTTTAAAAATGGTATAGGTGTAACTTTTTATTTTGCATTATTTACCTTATCATGGCAAATATATAAGGTATTTCCCCCCTCTTTATTACATGGCTTCATGGTGTAACTGGAAAGTACACCTGGCTAGCATCCAGGGCTGTGGAGTCGGTAGGGAAAATGACCGACTCTGACTCCCTCATATATATGTAAACACATACAAATGAGTTTCAGCTCTCTTTTTTAATATAAAAGAAGTAATAGATGTTACAGGGGAAAAAAAAAGATGCCATAGCAAATTATTTATATTAATTAGCATTTATTATGAAATGGAAAAACTGGCATTAGTTATTTCTAAGAAACATTAGTATGCTTCGGCAAGTATCTTTTTTGTTGGAGGGCCATAGATCCGATTTGATAAACTTCAGACCTGAGAACAGTCTTTCCACACTAACTTGAGCAGGAGGAAGAGCTGTCAAGGCTAGGGCTACTTCTTTTAACTTTTCAGGATAGATTTTATAAGTTCTAAAAGAGATGTCTTGCAAGTGCAATCATATTTTTCCATTTCTTCAAAAGGCCGTGTAGAAATCTTGTTTGTATTTTTTCATTTTTATAGCCTAAAGGCTCTTGGTTCTTTATTTTCATTCGCTTTAGTTAGCCTTTTCAATATTATCCAAAAATATTTCTCAAAATCTAATTCATCACTGGAAGAGGATGGCAGAGACTCGATTAAAATGTCTTCAGTTTGACTGTCCCGATTCAAATTCTCCAATTCCACTGTCCAATTGTTCTAAGAATATTTCATTCTTAATGAAAGTTCATAGATGGCTTTCTTTGCCTTTTTAATTTGTTTGTCATGCAAAAAAAATCAGTTTCGGATCTACATATATTGAACTCAGCAAAATCTCGTTGTCTAGCAAACTAGTTTCTCTTTTCTTCATTGAAGAAAGATTCCTTCTGCAATAAACCCTCCATTTCAGAAAGAACAAACATCACATTCTTCCATTCTCACCTCCTGTTAATTCTTCAGATTGCAGCTTTTTTTGTGGCTGTATAGGGTGTAGAAAAAAAAGTTTCCAATTCTGGAAGATCATTCCACAGTCTTTCTGTTAGTGAAATATTATGATTATCTACATCTTCTAAAAAAGTTCTTAATTCTAACTTATCATCAAATGTGTACTTCCTTGTTGCGTTGCTTGATCAATAATTTCTCCTTTTCCTGCTCGCTTCCTAAGAATGGCATCAATTTTGGGAGTTCTTGCTGCTTACCTAAATTTACCAGTGAAATTTGTAACTGAATGAATCAGTTTAATCATTAATTGAATGAATCAGTTTCATCATTAATGTCAAATATCGTATCCATCCTCCTCCCTTATATTTATTCCCTTATATTAATATGTCAATAAAATAGAAAATAACTATTTATTAATGTGTATAGTCCATAAATAAAAATAATAACTCAACTTGTCATTAATTTTTCAATTCATTTTAATTTCATTTCTAATTTAAACAGTCCCACAAAAACTGGAGTCAGAGTCGACCTGTTTTTAGCGACTCCAGCTCTGACTCCTTTTACCCCAAAATCTGCTCATCGCCAAATCCGATTCCACAGTCCTGCTAGCATCGGAAGGTCCCGAACACGAATCCTGGCGAGGGCATTTTGCATTTTTCATGTCACTTGCTTCACTGACTCTATAAGTGTGCCTGAGCTAAAAGGTGATGGACAATAATTTGTCACTGCCATGATTGGGTTCCCTCCTTTAAGAGTCACCTTTTAGGAGGGAGAGCATATAAGTTATTTTCTCCCTCATTACCGCATGTCTTTGTGGTGTAATTGGAAAGCACATCTGGCTATCATTTGAAAGTCCTGAATTTGAATCCTAGCAAGAGTATTGCACATTTTTCATGTCTCTTGCTATAAATAAAATGCCTAAAGACTTTTACAAATGTTGCCCTTCAGTGATATGACTTACAGCTCTAGTGCTTGAATTTGGCCAAACTTCTTCATTTTTGGTATGTTCTGTTTGATACTTGGCATTCTTACACTCCTCGAATTATTGGCATTTGACCTGGTGGTGAGAAAAAATCCCTAATTATATAGCTTGTGACACAGGTGTTGAAATATTTTATGATTAGGGAATTGCCTTTCAGGAAAACACTTGCTCTAAAATCATTGTCCTTCCCTGCTACTCCTTTTGACAGCTGTATACAGTACAAAGTCTGTAATCCAGACGTCCATTATCCAGAATGATCTATAATCTGGACCTCAAACTCACAAACTTTTTTTTTTCTGTATGCTTTACACATGTGCGTTTAATGTTACGCATGCACGTTTAATGTTTATGCATGTGCATTTAATGTTATGCATGCACGTTTAATGTTTATGCATGTGCGTTTAGCACAAAAAATGAAGCAAAAACAACTTACATTGAAAAAATGTTTAATAAAGTAAACAAATAAATATTAAGCTTTTTTTTTTATAAATTTTGATATTCTTTAGATCATAATTGTTCTTTATTTCATAAATTACGGTTTCATATTTTTAATTGTATACTTTCTGCATGCCATCTTACAAGATTTAAATTGATGATCTATAATTCGGAAAAACCCTTAATCCGGAATTGCCGAAGTCCCGACGAGTCCAGATTACGGACTTTGTATTGTATTTGAAATGGAGAGGGGAATATTTTGTCATTCACATACATTCACTTTCTTGCCAACCATAAACCTCAGAAATTGAAGTTATGATTGATAGTGTGTATGGATAATATTTTCTCACTAGCAGAACTGCTGCTTGCTAGTGAGCAAATGGTGCAATAATGTCTTTGTGTTTCATTTTTGATCATATATTTTATGAGAAAAAATAATTATTTTGACATACTCTTAAAATTTATCCCATCTTTAATTTTAAACACCTTGTATATTTCTAATACTCTTTTTTTATAATAGCATTTTTCTTGCATTTGTTTGATAAAATTTACTGTAATTTAAGATGCTGCAAAACAAAGATGTCACTCAATACAAACTAGCTTTGGTCATCAGAGATGATCTGAATATGGGAAGAGGAAAAATTGCTTCACAGGTACAATATGCATAAAAAAGGAGTACAGTCAAAAGTCGTTAATTCAGTCACTCATAATCCGGAATGATCTATAATCCGGGCCTCATAGCTACAAACTTTCTGCGCGTGCGTCGCGTTGACTATAATCTGGCTGCGAATACGCGTGTGCGCATGTGCAAAATACGTTTACGAATGTGCGTTTAATGTATAACAGACGGTATAAGCTAAGCTAAAATTATCTAATTCAGTTAATGTTTCAGATTGCGTTGTTCCTTAATCTTCGAATTGAATTCGGCCTTTTATTTTTTGCAGACTGTTAGAGCAATTTTATAAAAGTAAGCTTGAACTTTCCATTATGTCAAATAGAATTTCTGATATATATTTATTAATATGTAAAGGATCTACAAAGCGAAAGTATGTTTCGAAGTCCATTAAACAAAAAGTGGAATTGCTGCAAAAAATGGATAAAGGCATATATGTTTTGTTTATTTAAACTTTAACGTTTGTTTATCTAAACTTTGTTTATCTTTAACGCTGCAGCGCCCAATGAATTGGAAGTTGATCTGTCAACACTATCCTTATCTTCAGGGCAGATGTTTTTATTTTATTTGGCCTATAATTCCTTACTAAATGTAGTATTTCATCTCGATTTACACCGGCTTTGATATGATTTAAATCAAATTCCTCATCATTATAATTCGCTTCCGATAGCGAAGAAAGTAACAGAGGTTATTGAAAACGAAAAAATTTTGATTGACAAATTAGTTGGTATTCTCGACACAGCAATTATAGGACTTGAACAGCGGAACTTTGTAACTGAACAAGAAATTATGTCTGTTTATAGAATTAAAGAGAATGTATTATCACATAAAAAACGAAGCAACTTAAACAACTTACATTGAAAGAAATGTTTAATAAAGTAAACAATAAATATTAAGCTTTTTTTTTTTTTTTTTTTTTTTTTTTAAATTTTGATACCCTTTAGATCATAATTTGTTCTTTATTTCATAAATTACGGTTTCATATTTTTAATTTTATAATTTCTGCATGCCATCTTACCAGATTTAAACTGATGATCTATAATCCGGAAAAATAGATAATCCGGAATTGCCGAAGTCCCGACGAGTCCGGATTAATGACTTTTGACTGTATTTGTATTTTTTCTGGTTTGAAATTATTTTTGCATTTCGTATAGTTTTCTCTTATAAAATTATATAATCAATAAAAAGATTATATTATTTTTCTTAAATTATTATTTTAGTAATATGTTTTTATAGCATGAATCATGTGTCAGAAAACTAACTGTATTTAAATTAAAGTATGAAGTTTTAATATCTTTCTCTTTCTGCTTTATAAGTATTCATTCATAATGTCATGTATTACAAATATGACCTGCAGTATAAACAATATAAAAGTATTCAATGGTTATTGTTCACATATTGTATTTTAATTATTTAATTAATTTTGATTAAAAATGCACCCTTTTTATACATTCTTCTATAAGAATAAAATTTTTACAAAGCTTTGTGTTAAACGAACAGTTTTTACTTAGAGTACAGTTTTCAAGTAGCAGTCATTTAGTATCAATAGATACATACTAAAACTTTTATAAATTGAAGTTTTATGAATTTCTTATTCAAACATTAAAATTCTTGTTATGTAATTCCTACATAACACTTATAATGAATTTATTTGTGTAGCACAACAGTCTGTTAGCCAATGAACCAAAAAAACCTTAACTAATCAATATATATTGTAATCTAATCTTTTAATTGTCTTAGTCATTTTAATGTGTAACCTGCTGCTTGCCTTCTTTACTTCAAATGTATTCTTTTTGTGAAAAGTACAGTTGTGTTCGGTACTTACGTATTATCGCAACCAGGTTGACGCTATTTGTAAATTTGAGTAAAAAAGTATGAATAGAAAGAAAATGTACATTTATTAATTACAGATAATTTTTAATACAGTTTTTTATATTATTTTGTTTTAAAAATATAAAATAGCAATTAAAACCCTTCGTTTCGGTTTCGAATTTTGAATAAGTTGCAGAATTATTTTTTTCAGCGGAAATCTTTTGGCTACTGCTTTTTAGCACTGATTAAAAACCGTAGTATTCGCCATAACAATGTACACGTCGACTTATTTTTACTTAAAAAAAATCCCAGAATTGCACAAAAATGGCATTGCGCACACTCTTCACTTTATCCATGTACACTGCTATTTTCTTATAAATTACAAAAATTTGCACGAAAATGCAGGAAAATTTTGTGAATCTCCACATGCTCTTTTTACAAAACTACGTATAACACGTAGGTTTGTCGTAAGTAGAGTCGCCAAATTTCGCAATTTATGCAAATTTTGACCTGGTTGCGTTAATACGTAAGTACCTTGTATTCAATAAAGAATGGACATGCAATTTGCACCAATGTATCTGTTTGTCAAAAAAAAAAAAAAAAAAAGTATTCGACTGCCATTAAATGTTAGGTGCATCTTTATGCACCAGCTTTATCATATTTTATATCACTATTTACATATACATAAAAGTGAAGTGGGTTTAATAAATTGCAATCAAATTTGGAATCTTTTTCATTATTAGACATTTCCATTATTTCCTTGCTCATTGGCTGCAAATGAATTAAAGTATTGTTCTTATCTTTTATATCAGTGTTCTTGTTTTCAAAGTTTCATCAATAAAAACTTTTAAATGTGTTCTTCTTGCATTCTTTGTTTATAGAATTGACTAACTAAAAAGATATTAGAAAATTTTACTACAGTTGAAATATGCTGATGATGAAAGTATGTTTTCTTGCTCTAAATATCTAGCTGGTACATATATATTTCTAGAAAAATTGTTTGGCACATGTTGTTCTATGCTGGAAAAAATCCAAAACTTGTTTTATTGAGATTATTAATTAAATTGAAATGCATTAAAAATAGACATATAGATATGGTATATAAGACATATTATACTAAAGTTTATAAATAAAAGATATTTTTTGTATAAAGTAGAATATTTAACACTTTATACAATTTGATAGATTCCCCACCAGTGGGCTGAGTGGTAAACCACTGAATACTTGTAGTTTGAACCACATTCAAATAGGATGGTTGTTAGGAGTTTTTGTGATTTCTCAAAAGTATAATATGGATATGAAGCAGTTTCTTTTAAATAATCTTTGGTGAAGGCACTTCCCTTGGCCAGATATAATCAACCTGGTGCCTATCACCAACTACGGGACATTTTAAGCTTTCTTAGCAAGTGGTAGAGGTCTGAGATGATGAAAATCAAGAAAGATGGAAATGCACTAAAACAAATATGGATGTACACACATATAATACAGTCAAAAGTCGTTAATTCGGACACCCATAATCCGGACCTCAAAGCTGAAAACTTTCTGCGCATGCGCCGCGTTGACACATGCACATAGGCTTTTACGTGTGCGCGTAAGACCTTTTACCACTGCGCATATGCATGGGTGCAAGCACAGAATACGTTTTTGCGTGCGCGTTTTATATATAACGGACGGTATAATCTAAAATTATCTAATTATCTATTTCAGTTAATGTTGATGATTGCGTTGTTCCTTAATCTTCGAATTGGATCTGGCTTATTATTTTTTGCAGACTGTAAGAGCAATTTTATAAAAGTAAACTTGAACTTTCGATTATGTCAAATAGAATTTCCAATTCTGGAGCTCCCAAAGGATCGTACACAACGAAAGTATGTTTCGAAGTCTATCAAACAAAAAGTGGAATTGCTGCAAAAAATGGATAAAGACATGAAGAATGTGACAGAGAGGTTAGTGAAAACGAAAAAATTTCGATTGACAAGTTAGTCGGTATTCTCGGCACAACAATTAATGGGACTTGAACAGCGGAACTTTGGTAACTGAACAAGAAATTGGTCTGTTATAGAATTAAAGAGAAAAGTATTATCACATAAAACGAAGCAACTTAAAACAACTTACATTGAAAGAAATGTTTAATAAAGTAAACAAATAAATATTAAGCTTTTTTTTTTTTTTTTTGTAAATTTTGATACCCTTTAGATTATAATTGTTCTTTATTTCATAAATTAAGGTTTCATATTTTTAATTTTTAGAATTTCTGCATGCCATCTTACGAGATTTAAACTGATGATCTATAATTCGGAAAAATCGATAATCCGGAATCGCCAAAGCCCCGACGAGTCTGGATTAACGACTTTTGACTGTATATACATGTGATAATTCTCTACTTGACCATTTCTCCGCATGCAGTGCTTGTTTCCATGTATTCATATGTCTTTGTTATTTCTCTTAGTTATTGTTTTATGACTATAGTAAATATGTCTGAATTATCACATCTAAACAATGAGTGAAGCCAGGAGGAATTTTTGTGAGAAACAAGCCTTTCTCCTATCACTAAAGGCTTCTTAGCCGATTCCCGTAGTAATATAATTTAGCATAGTTTTGCTGGACTCAATGTTTCAGCCAGCTACGTGGAACATAAATTTTCTGTATGGTATAAATATACAAGTATTAATAAATGGATAAATTTAACCATATATTTTTACCAAGCCTTCATTCAAAAAAAGTGCTTTGCAGTTGCGCTAAATTAAATTGATGTGGATGCAGTCTGTGGTAAGGGACTTTAACTGCCTTCAAAGTGGGTGGTAGGTATAAAAAGGTTGACTAACCCTTTGGCACCCCCTGGGTTGTATACACTGGCTTAGTATTGTACTGTGACAGTAATCATTGGTTGCACAAAATATACGAACCCAGTTTCTGGTGCCAGAAGGTGCTGTCATTACTATTGTGGAAGGTAGGTGGCCCCTTCACTTCATGCTCTGCATGGTGTATTGAAGCTTGTTTCCCCAACGACACCTGCCAGAGATTTGGAGTAACTAATGGGTGTGTTAAACATTTTGTTTGCTTCAAACATTTTCTTTTCCAAATTCATTTACAAGGTCTTCTGAACATCATTTAAATAGTACATCTTTTGTTTCATTGTTTCATTATAAATTCTTTTCTGTTTTTATACTTGAAGGAAAGTCAATGAATGGGATTGTTAAATTACCTTCTAGTTGTCATCATAGAACCCACTTCTTGTTTCATTGTCATCATATTGCAACAAACTATTAAATCACCATTAATAAATGCAAAATCTAAAAATTGATAGATCTGTGAAACTGCATTCTATCCTTTGATAACATGTTCTTTATGATAATGCATAGATCACATTCCATCACATTATGCAGTGAAAATTTAATTTCTCAAAATCGTTACTAGTAATGATACCTTATTCCATGTATCTCTGACAAAATTCACTGCATCATTGAAAATTTTATTTTAAGTCATTTGATATATATCTTACTTATCTTTTTCTATGTATAATTTAAAATAACAAAATTACTTGTACATTCCAGAGGCTATAGTTCATTTGTGCAGTGTTTCCTGGGGGAAAAAGCAACTCTTTTAACCTGTTGCTTAAGATGAGGAAATTTCTACTTGCACAGATGTAATTTAAGATAAGTACTAAATTAGCTCAGCCTGTCTGAAAAAAAATTTAATTATCAGCTTTCTGATTAACTTCTACTAAACATAAGATATCCTGTATTTTTTATATTTTGTAGTTGTTCATCGCAATAGTTTTAACATGTTGATTATTAACTACTAATCCAAACTAAGGTTACCCTTAGTTTGGATTTTTGTCCAACTGTGACATAACTTGATGTTTGTATATATGGTTAAAGCAACTTGGATTCTGAGGCTTGAAACTTGAAACTTGCTGTCGCAATCAACATGTTGTGTATATTTCAGATTCATATTTGAAACATTAGTCATCTCATGCATTTATTTATTAAGTATGTGTAATAAAGGATTTGGATAACTGCATTTATATATATGGTGTGTGTGTGCACATATGTGTACAAGGTAATAGCAGAATGTTAAGGGAGATAGAGGAGACTGAAACAAGCAAATTTTGTAATGGAATGTATGTGTCAAAATGGCATGTTGGGGTGGTACTGGGGATTTGACAGTGGCATAGCTAGGTCAGGTGGCACCAGGTTTACAATTTTAATTTCTCATCCACTATGCCCAATAAAATGTCGAAGCAAATTTATTAACACGTTGAGCGCGGTGCCGGTCCCTCGGGACTGGCAGTGGACTTTCCGTGTGGCCGGCATCAGTCCCTGGGGACTGGCACTAGAATTTTCTTTTGGCTGGCGTCGGTCCACAGGACCGACAGTATTAAAGTCAAAAAGTAAATATAGTCTCAATGAAATATGATCAAATTTAGTTTTAATGAAATGTATTGAAACATTCTAAACAAAAATGCGGCTTACTTTACGGCTTAGCTCGCTGCCGGCTGAACGGAAAGGACAGCAAATTCGGCACCGCGCTCAGCGTGTTATGAAAACAGTTTTTTCGTTACGTAAACAGTGTTTAATGTTAACTATTTTGTAAACAATTTTAAGAAAAATTTTAATACTAGAATAAGGTTGGGAACAGCTTCAAAAAGTTCACATTCAACTATGGACTCTAAGAATCTTATGGAAGTCCAGCCAAGAGATTCTTCTTTTGGGAAGCTTGTAAAAATCTTCTTGGAATTTTCGTAAGGATACCATCTGCAGAAAGCTCATTGTAACTTTCACCCAAATGTTTTACAAACTTCAGTTCCTGAGGTTTTTGATCAGATTGCTGGGCTGTAAGACAGCAAACTGATTTGATATACGGACATTCCATGGTGTTGCAACGTGTATCAATTTCTTGTTGAAACCTGTCAATATGCATTGACCTTTTTAGTTCTTGCTGCAAAGTCAGTGGCTCATCTGCAGCCTTTTCTCTGGGGATAATTTTCTTCTTCCTAAAAGTTATTATCACAGGAATCTCATCGTTTTACACGTTTCCTCTGCAAATCGCTGTGCTTCCTTATCAAGGTAATTTATTTTGCCTTTCAAAAAGAACTTTAGACTTCTCATATTGATAACACATAACTTGAAGTCAATTCCAAGACATCACACAGTTCTCCAGTGGCACTGACAGTCTTCCTAAAGCACACAGGCTGAACAGCTGCCTTTTGAGCACTCCATCTTGTTTTTAAAAGTTGCTTAGCTGCAACTCCAACATTTGACAAAAGGATAGTCTATGTGTGCATAGAGGCTGAGAAAAACATGTAAAAACTTTCTAAGGTCCCAATAAAAGTCACATATAATGTTGCTGCATGTGAAAAATTTTATGTCCTGGGCAAAAAATATCAAAATAAAATCCCTGATAGCACTGTCTCATGTCCTATGTAAGAATAATTTATATTCACATGCTTATTTTATTGAAAAATAAGCATATGGGTATGCCATAAAGAAACCTGATTATTTCACATGGACAAGTATAGTGACTTGTTCTTAATCATTTTTCAGGATTCCAATAGCATGACTATTATAGAGACTCTTTACTATTTATTTTTGCAGCTCAGTTTTTGGAAATAATATTTCCTCCTTCTGCCCAATGTATATCTTTCGGCATTTACCCTGTGTGCCACTTCTCAAACTGGGCTGTGTCAGCTTCTTTCACAGAATACAGAAATTTTTTTATCACCTCTGCCTTTTATTTTTGCCAGCTATTTTCTGAGCACATACATATATCTAAATCAGCTTTATAATTCAATTCAATAACATTCTTAATTCATTTTTAATTTGGCTATCTCTTCTGTCTTTGGGTATCAATTTAATCCATTCTAAAAATAGCAATAACTTTTCTTAATCAGTCTATGCCACATGGCTTGTGCAATGCTGATGACTTAGCTAATTCAAAGCTTGAACTAAGAATTTTGAGAACTGAAACCTTTCTAAACTAAGCCAAAACCTTCTCTTGATGAGCTTCTATATTGGATAATTGTGCACTTTAGCTTCTACTACTCCTGTAAAGATGCTATTTTGCTGTGCTTTCTTTCTGTCACAACAATATAAAAAATGTAAATGTTCTTGAATAGGCTCGATTAAAGTGCCATGTAAATTGTGGCCACAAATGTGAATTGAAATAAAAATGAAATTTAATCCACCTCGACTGCCAAGTTTCCTAGTCATTATGAATTCAACAGCATTCTCTGCAATCAGAATTTTTTCTCTTCAATATGGATCAATGTTCTATGCTATCTACGTGCTGCATCATCAATATTTCTGCATTTCTATGTCTCATTGTTCCTACATCAGTGCTTCTAAATTTGTTTTTATTACACATATATATAAATTTATACATTTTATGAATTTATACATGCATAGTCGCATAATTGTTATATGTATTAATTGAATTATAAAATGAGAGCTGTTCTATACTTATCTAATTTTGTGGACTATTTAATTTTAACACTGAATTATGTACAATCTTACCTAGTTATATTATTTGATTTTTTTTAGTGTTCTCATGCTTCAGTATTAGCATTCAAGACTGCTATGTTGTCTCATCAGGAAGCAGTAGAAATGTGGGAAGCATTTGGCTCAGCAAAAATTGTATTAAAAACTCAAAGTGAATTAAGTCTGTAAGTTATAAACTGTTAAGTCTTATGTAAGTTAAATGTGAATTCTTCACTAGCTGAATATTCAATATTATTTTTGTACTTCAGTGTAACTAAATGGCAAACAACAAGTAATTGTGTTTCCTTACAATTTATTATTATGCTAACAACATATTATTTTGCTAACAACATTATGACTTTACAAAAGCTTAGAAAAATATAAAATAAAATAATTCATGCAGATTTCTTGTTTCAAATTATGATTAGTTGGAGACAATGTTAAAACATTTCCCTGAATTAGGGAGATATTTGAAAATAAAGATATATTTTTACAAAATTATGCAGAAGCATAGTTTTTTTTTTTTTTGTTATTATAAGTTAAAAGCAGCTAGCTCTTTTAGGTATAAAAAACATATGTGCTGTAGTTTTTAGTGAGGAATAACAACCAAATAATTTTGTGCAAATGCATTTTATTCAGGGGGGAAAAATCTCTTTCTTTTCTATCTAGTTACATGTTTCCAATAAATTACAAAAATCCTGCCTTTCTAAAAGTATACTTATAAATTTTGTCTTTGTAAAAGTTCTTGCCCTTAAAGCCAAAAAAATTGTCCTATGGCCCAACATCTGATATCATTCTGATAGGGTTGCTGATACTTGCCATTTGAATTTGACCTTTTGCTCCAGCTGCATGAAATGTTTTACATACCTCTTGGGGAAAAAAAAAGAAGAGAAGGAATATGATTGGGTTGATGTTAAGCTGGAACTAATTACAGTAGAGTCTCACAAACTCAATTCCTGATTACTCAACATTATGTATAACACTATGATCATTTTTTGTTTAAATCATTAAGTTATTTCTACAGGTCAAGCAGAATTTATTTTTGAAATAATGTGATGATTTATTTGTAGCTGGGCTGCAGTAATTTCTAGCATTGCTTGTATCGTGCAAACAGTACAAGTACATTTTAATTACTATGTTAATGCAATTACAGAGCATATTTATGTGTATAAATGTTCTTACAGAGCATATTTATACGTATAAATGTTTTTTCATTCTTCATTCTGTTCAAAAATTGGTTATGGCAATATAATTTTGCAATTTTTTGACTCTTTCTTCTTGTGACACTATTTCTTGGAATCTGTAATGAATTCGGTGGCAGGTTCTCACCCCCATGGGAATTCCATTGTACCCCATTGCTTCTCTCAGTACAAAATAGCTAATGAAATTCAGGTAGCCACTCTCAATTATCCTTCACATTCCTTTCTGTTGCTAGCCACTAGAAGGCTTGCCTGAAAGTTTATGGTTATATCTTGTTAAGCTAAATTTCAAGTGTATTCTGGTTACAGTTTCTTAGTTTATATCCAGACTTATAATTGTTATGTTGTCTGTCCAAATGAAAATTTCAGATAAAGGGGGGGGAATGAAAACAAACCAACATGACACTAGAAATGAAACTAGATGCCTTGAGAATGGACAAGATAAAAGTATTAATAAAATTTATCATGGGTTTGGATATTGAATGAAATATTATGAGTTATGAATAACCCACTGCTTCTGTAAAACTTGACAGTTTTGATAGCTGATCCCGGTCTCATTAGGTTGAATTTGTGAAACTCTATTGTACAACATCGGAATGCTCCAAAAGTGTGTTTAAGATCCAAATAGAGTTAGATTTAATAAGCTGAAGCTAATTTCTATTTTGATTTTAGTAGATAAGGATGAAGGATATTAGACTTTTAAATGTAAAAGTATACAAAATGAAACTAGAACATAATTGAAATCACAGAGAAAGGAAAGATGCTTAAACTTGTTTCTGCCATTTGCTGCCTTGAAGCAGTGACACAATGTTCCTTGTTTTTCAAAAAGTTCAGTGACTTCACATTAAGATCTGTATGTTTTGACATATTTGGAGATAAATATATTATAATTACATCAAAAATATAGGTATAAATGTATATATAATTTCTTTTCCACAATATTTCAGTGTCCTAACCATATATAAGTATATATTTTTAAATCACATTTCGTTCTGAACAGAATTAAATGCTAGAATTTTCACGTGCTGAGAACAGTTTTAATTTGAATAAAATGTTTTCATAAGTGTCTGCTAATTACATTTGGAAAACTTTTAAGGTAATCGATGTTATGTGGTTAACGATTACAGAAATTAAAATGAAAATGTATTATATTATTAATATTAAAATCATGCATTATTTCTTTTCTATTTACAGAGCTTCTTTCTGTTATACTTTCTCAAAGACTGATGATTTTGACCTTCCGAAGTACTTATTAAATCAAAAATCATAGTCTCTGTATAATTTATGCTGTGTCTGGTTTACTTCAAATTAAAGCACCTTTTATTTTAATAGTTAAATAATGTTAAATATTGCTGCTGATTTCTGATTTCCATATACCGTATTTGACGGCATATAAGACGCACCCTTATTTAGACGGCCACACACAAGGAAAAAAAGTTTCAATAGCATGGTTTCTTTTAGTTCTCACGTTTCGTAAAAGCCGAATAAACAATTATTGAATGCAATTACCTTCATGTATAACATGCAGGTAATTTTTTTGAGACCAAATTTAGGAAAAAAAGTGCGTCTTATATGCCGTCAAATATGGTACTTAACTTTCTATGAGGATTTCAGGAAGCGGTTTAAAGAAAGGTTTGATAATAAACTGTAATTGAATTATTATAAAACTTGGTTACTGAATTATTATAAAATGTAAGAAAATAATTATTTTAATAGTTATCAGAATTTTTTTCTGGCACTTGAATTCAATGATAAACATTCTAATAGTACTATAAGTCCACATTTCATATACTATGCTTTCCAACACCCATTAATAAATTGTTTTCCAGCATGAACAATTCTTGCTTAAATAAGTGAAATTAATGTTGATATTAACATCTTGCAAGCTCCTAAATAACCTGAAATTCAATAGCAAGTTTTACTGAAATACTAGTTTTCTATAGTAATTAAAGAAAGACAATTACTACATAATAAAACATGCATTGATCCTAAACCACTTTAAGAATTTTGAATTCATTTCACAGCAACATTTAACCATAGCAACTCTTATATTCATAACTAACAAAAGCAAGGTCAACTTTATTGTTCGTCTTACTTCTGTCAGTAAAACAAACTAATTGGTACCCTTCATATAGTTTTCTCTGTTAAAAATTTTATAATCAATAAAAAGACTGTTTATGTCAAATTATGATTTTAGTAAAATATTTTTTTTTTACAATTAAAGTTTATGAAGTTTTTACTATCTTTCTCTTTCTGCTTTATTTCTGATAAGTATTCATTCATAATGTCATGTAGGTAAGCTGCAGTATAAACAATATAAAAATATTCAAAATGGTTATTGTTCACATATTGTATTTTCATTATTTAATAGATTTTGATTAAACTATACCATTTTTATGCATTCTTCTATAAGGATAGAATTTTTGAAAAACTTTGTGTTAAATGAACAGTTTTTACTTGGAGTACAATTTTCAAGTATCATTCATATAATACAGCACATACTAAAACTTTAATAAATTGAAGTTTTATGAATTTTTTATTTAAACATTAAAAATTTATTTTTCTTTTACATGGTAGGGATTTCTTTATTCTTAGTTCAAAAATGTTCTAATATATAGATTAATATATTTATAGTTACATATTATAAATATATTAATGTATCTATTTATTGAAGCAAATTTTGTTCAAAATAAGTTTAGTTATTAGAAAGTCACACCCAAATGTACTAGAAACAGATCACTGAGCATTCAGGCATTCTTTTTTTCTACTGTAGGGTGACAATTGCTTTTTTGTTCTTCTTTAAAGTGAAAATATGAATAGGGAAATATTTAGTAACATGCAAGGTGCAGATGAAAACTCATTTTCTAAGGAAATTGAAAATGATATCATTACTGCATCACCTAAAGTTGATAAATTGATGGATGAAGATGTAGTTCATAATGAGAATTTAAATGCTCCATTCCTAAGGGATATTGCTTGAAAAGTTGAGGTAATATCAGCAGATAATGAATCTGGAATAATAAAAAAAAAAAGGTGGAATTTAGCTTTCAGGAAAAAGGCTAAAAAGTGGAACACAGAAAAGCCAAAGTAATTTGGACTACAAAAACACCAAATTACATGAAGAGGACAGAAGCAGAGGAAAGATATAAGGATTTTCTTGTGGCATTGGAAACTGATGTAGAAAATTCATCTCTGGTTGCTATGTTTTAAAATTTTTTTCGATGAAGTACATGATTTAATCATTAAAGAAACAATTCACAATGCTAAAAATGTTAAAAATGACCATTATTTTAATATTACTACAGTAGATACAAAGATATTTGTAAGGTTTTTATTTTTTTTTCTAGTTGCCTTGTTCTTCCAAGTAAGAGAGATTATTGGAGTAAGCAGAAGGCTTGGGATTTCAGCTGGCTTAGAAAGCTTTCACTAGGAATGCTTACATAAAAATTAAATTATATAGTTACTTACAGGACAATTCCAAAACCTCAAATAAGCATGACAAACCATTTAAGACAAGACCCCCTTTGGAAAAGTTGAATGAAAATTTTAAGCTGTGAGGAATTTTCAATAAATGCGTGTATCAATGAGATGATTGTAAGGTGTTATAGCCATCATTCTCTAAAAGTGTTTATAAAAGCAGAGCCAATAAGCTGTGGTTAAAAATTCTAGGTAGTGTGTGGTGATAGTGTATATTGTTTTAAATTTTCATTATACTGTGGAAAAGAACAATCCAAAAGTTGTGCTTTTAGGATCACTGGGAGAAAGATTTTTAATGAATATGTTATTCAACATAGAAAATTTATAAAGCCCTATAATATTTTGATAGTTTTTTCACTATCCAGTCTTTATTACATAATCTTTAAGTAAAAAGGTTTTGAGCTACTGGGTCTGTACAAGACAATAGAACTAAAAATGTACTGTAAAACCTTTCAGTGATCTTCCAGTTAGATAAAATGCCATGTAGTTTATACGATTATTGATTTGATGAAAATAATGAAATAATGATATTTAGATGGAGAGATAATGAGTATGGCAGCTGTGACTAATTTTCATAACTCTGAGTGCATTTCTAAAGTCCAAAGATAGTCAGGCTAGTGAGAAAAAGGAGAAAGTAGCAATCCTACAACCAAATATAATAAATGTTTGTAACAAATATATGGGATTGGTAGACTATCATGATTGGTTGTTAGTACAGTACAGTACTGCAATTAGAAATAAAAATGATATGTGCATTTGTTCACAAGAATTATTGACATGGAATTAGGAAATGCAAGTATTCTTTATAGGAATATCCGTGGGTCTAATTCTCTGACAATGAAAAAATTCTGAAGAATGGTAGCTGCAAAACTTTTGAAATTGTGTATTGCAAAAAATGTTTTGAAAGATCAACATAGCAGCTTTCCTTCAACCTTAAAAGTAGTGTTAGCGATGATATTCATTGTGACAGGATAGATCATAATATAGGCACAAAGAATTTGCCAATTTGCAGATTGTCAGTCAAGACCTGTCATATTTATATAAACTGCAATTACGAAATTTCACATAAAATTGTAAGTACTACATTTTATTAGTATAATTTATTAATGTGCTTAAGTTCGTAATAAATTCAATGCACACAAAACTTATAAGAGCTTGATAAAATTTGTTTTAACAAAAGAGACATTTGGCAGTTCTGGAACATTCTACAAAAATACCTTTACTGCACTTCACAGTATCACAAAGTACAATCAGTAAATACACTTCAAACTAAGAATGTTAAACTCGATGCAATGGAAAGTGCATCTAAAAGGCAGAGCTCTCACAGATATCTCAATACTTTAAATTCAGGTCTGAAGTAACAACTCAGAAACTGATGGTCTGCCCCAGTATTTTATAGTTTTTCTCACGGCTACTGAGAGATTTCTAGTACCTTCTCGATATTATTGGAAGGCAAATGAGGGTTGTATATGGTTGCAGTTATTTATCAATGGCAGTTTTACAGAGACCACACCAAAATGTCTCCTAGTTTTTGGCCAAATTTCATGAAAAAAATTAGTCACCCAAACCATCGCTAGCTTGGCGATATCTGGCCAATTTAGTGAGACAGCCATTTACTCAGTATTAAATAGACTTGTCCCTATAGTCTTATTTTTCTGGCAAGGCTTCGCTTCTTTAGATTTTCATATTATATTATAAAAAAAAATATACTATGATTTTGCGTATAATTTCACTAAAATTATTTACATATACGCAAAATTCGTAACCATATTACATCCATTTATTACATGTTTTTGTGATATACATATATTTAAGAACAGTACATAGTCTTTAATCCAGACTCGTCGGGACTTCGGCGATTCCGGATTAGGAGTTTTTCCGAATTATAGATCATCAATTTAAATCTGGTAAGATGGCATGCAGAAATTATAAAATTAAAAATATGAAACCGTAATTTATGAAATAAAGAGCAATTATGATCTAAAGGGTATCAAAATTTACAACAACAAAAAAAAGCTTAATATTTATTTGTTTACTTTATTAAACATTTCTTTCAATGTAAGTTGTTTAAGTTGCTTCATTTTTTATGCTAATACTTTCTCTTTAATTCTATAAACAGACATAATTTCTTGTTCAGTTCCACTGTTCAAGTCCTGTAATTGCTGTGTCGAGAATACCGACTAACTTGTCAATCGAAATTTTTTCATTTTCAATAACCTCTCTGTTTGTTTCTTCACTATTGGAAGCAGTACATCGAAACATACTTTCGCTTTGTAGATGCTTTGGCAGCTCCAGAATCGGAAACTCTTTTTGATATAATTGAAAGTTCAAGCTTACTTTTTATAAAATTGCTCTAACAATCTGCAAATATAATAAGCTGGATCCAATTAGAAGATTAAGGAACAACGCAATCTGCAACATTAACTGAATTAGATAATTTTAGCCTAGCTTATACCATCTGTTATACATTAAATGTGCATGCGTAAGCATATTATGTGCATGTGTAAAGGTATTATGTGCATATGCGCAGAAAGTTTTTAGCTTTGAGGTCTGGATTATAGAGTATTCCGAATTATGGACGTCCGAATTAAAGACTTTGTACTGTACTTTGTATGTGTTTTCTCTTATTTTATTTCTTTTAAATAGAAATTTAGCACAAATTATTTCATTTTATTATTACTGTACAAGTTATTTTTTACATGTTTCTAAGTATTTTGAAATATATACATGTTTTAGTGTGTTGTAATTTTGCTTTTATCGATTATCTCCTTTTTCACTTTTGGGAAATACTATTAATTCATCTGCTATATGCTAAAAAAATATGCCAGTGCCCAGTGATCTATTTTCAGTACGTCTTTTTTTTATACCTGGCAGTTTGGGTAAATTTTAATGATAATATTCATATGAAAGACAAAATACTTCAGAATCAAGATTTTTATCTGACTGCTTCAAGAAAAGATAATTTGGTCTCTAGTGGGTTAAAATGAGCAACTAATGCCTTTCACCTAAAAATTTTAGAAGTTATGTTTAAAAATATTTGATTATAAAGTTCAAATTTTTTTTAAATTTATTTTTAAGGAAGTATAATTCTATTATTTTTAGCACAGATCCTTTTAATTGTGCATTACTTTTCTATTTTGAAAAAAGAAATAGATAAAAATAGTGATATATTTATCCATAATGCTGAGTGTCATATTACAATATTATGCAGGTGACAAAAAATTTATTTCATTTAAAATACAGGGTGTTTATAAAGTCTCTATAAATTTTTTGCTTAAATGAGCATTATTCTGCAATATAAGTTATTTACATGAAAATGCAACATAATATAATACTAAATTAGTACAATTCAATGTGGTCCCCTGAGTGTCTAGGCACAATTGCCTCCACTAAACACCGGAAACACCTTAAGTAAAGTTATTGGTGTAATTGCAGCCGCTGCAGCCATAATTCACTGTTTTAATTGTTCAATGCTTCTAGTCTTCACTCGGTACACTTTGGACTTGACAAAACCTCATACGAAAAAGTCTAGGGAAGTTGTCTGGTGACAGGAGAGCCCATAGGCATCGAGAGCCACGACCTATCAGGAAAAGCTTCATTAAGATAATTACACACAATAATGACAAAATGGGAAGGTGCCCCATCGTGTTGGTAGACAACAGTGTCAATAATGCCATCTTATACTAACTGTAGTTCAAGCTATTGTTGCAACATATCGAGAAATTTTTTTCCAGTGAATGTCTTTTCTACAAACATGAAAGGTCCACAGAACTTAGTTATCTCAATCCATAAATTGTGTGTCTCCCAGATATTTGTATAACATGTTTGGTTGTTCATCAGCCGTCATTCAATAATTATTCCTATTAACATGGCTGCTGAGATGGAATGTGGCTTTGTGGTTAAAGAGAACAATCTCCATTAAGTTCTCATTATCCACAGCTTCCAACAAATTATAACACATGGCTTTCCGAGCTCCATAGTCCTGAGCTTCAAGCTTATGCACAGTTTGAATGTGGTAGGCATCCTTCTTTAAATCACAGCATAGAGTTTTCCAAACAGTAGTATGCAAAATACCAAATCCCCAGCTGAGTCTTCATGTAGATGCTTGGAGGCTACGCATAGTTGTTTCTTCTATGCTTCTCTCAACCTGTGGCATTATTGAAGGTCTCCCAGAACGGTCTCAATCTTTAACACTACCAGTTTGCTTGAGTTTGTTTGCCAAGGTTTTAATAATTGCTTTGGTAGGAGCTCTGAATTTGTGGGCGAAGTCCTCCTGCACCTGTTGATACATTAATCCACGTGTACGAGCACAAACAACGACTATTCTTTCCTCTGTTAACAGCATACTTTCAGATAGCCTCCAAAAAAATTGCAATTAAATTGCATTTATCAAAAATGCATAGAGACTTTATAAACAGTATTTACTGTATTTTAATACTTGAAGCACAAAATAAAAACAGCAAATGCAATATCAAGAACACTGAAATAAGTACACAAATTTTTATGCTTATACCAATGAATAATATAATGAAATTGAGCTTTAATGTGTGTTATATTTTTGCAATATTTTGATATTTTAAAGGTATTTTGACTCCTTAAAGCATTCATCATTCTTTACATATAACATTTTGTTAAAAATCTATATTTGTGTAGTCCAGTAGCTTAGAGTTTTATAAAACAAATTAATAATCAAAGTTGCCATTGCAAGTTATCGAAAGCTAATCAAGACGAGATTTGTGCAGAAGTGCCACTAAACTATGCAAACTGCTATTACCCATACATCAATGAACATTTCTTTATGCAGTGTGCCATCAGTGAATATGCCTGCTTTTTCAATTTGTGCTGAATTGCCGTGTGCAGAAGTACACTAAATCGATGTCAAGTAACGTGTTCTGAATGTAAACAAAAATGCCACTCTCTGAAACAATGCTGCTGAGCTTTGACAAAACTCTGCTGCATTGTTAAGATTTCGACTGTTCATTCATTGTGCAAGCATTGTTTCAGAGTGGTGATAGGATGGCATGTCCTACTGTTTCCGTCCATGATTGAAATGAAAGACAGATACTCTCTGGCTAGGGAATACAAATAGAAATCAGTTGATACTGATAATATCATGGTCAAGCTTTTGATTTATTTTTATGAATAAGGGAAACAGTATGAAAATAACAATGGAAAAATAGTCTGGGAATTTAAAATATAAATTGAGAAAAGAAGCTGTAAAAAACAAAAAGGTGCACCAACATGCAAAAATTAATATTAAAATTTTCTACTGTAGTATGAAAAATGACCGAAGATTAATGCATTATAGGAATAATCATTTGCACTATTTAAAGGAAAGAGTATGTTATAATATCACTGTAAGACTGCTGGATTTTAAATTCTTAACTTGAAAAAAATTATAAAAATAGTTCTTGAGAAAGCTGTATATGAATCTTTTATGTAATGTCTATTACACTGATATTTAAATCTTAGTTTAGATTTAAAAGATAAAGCTAAAAAGATAGGACTGTTAACAAATATTGTTTGTGATGCTGGCCGAACAGAAGTAGTTGCTGGTACAAAAACTGTCCTTGCAATAGGCCCAGGTAAGTTAACTATTGCTGTAATTCCATATATTAAATTTGATTATATGTGAATTTTATTAATGTTAAAAATTGCCATTATCTGAAAACTTATTTTATTTTCTTAAATTGAAGCTATTGGTCTGTGACTGATGGCTCAAAAGCTGTTTATTTATGCAATCTGTTTTTAAACATCATGGGTTGTATTTAAATGCGATAACATTTTAAACACTTTTCCACTCTCTGAAGGATTGGTGATACTAATTCATAGGCATAAATATTGAAAAAATACTTTTAATCTTCTCTGAGTACACATAATTTAACTCCTGCTGTCTTTGATTAATAGCAATCTATTGTCAAGATTGTATTTTATACATAAGATATCCATTGACAAGAGCAAATTATCAGAAAGTATGACATATAATATCAGTTTGATTCAACGAGCATTTGAAGAAAATTTGTGCTTCTAAATAGTGAACTGGCTAAAAGATTTTTATTTGTTTAGATAGTGTGACACTTCATCAACAAGAATACAAACCTATAATCCAGTATTTACAATAGTCCAAATATAGATAAAAAAATTATTACATCAATTTTAATGAAACTGATATATATATATTGTTATCAGCAAAAATTTCAACTATTTTCTACCTTAAAAATACCACTGGTGTTTATGTGTTCTTGTGTACAAATCCTAAGAATTCCTACATACTTTTTCCAGCATTCATTTTGAGAAAGTATGGCACTGAATAAATGATTTTTTAAGAATTCTTGTGCTTTTCTAGTAGTATAGTAGCATTACAAATTTTTAGCTATTCAGGTATTATGTGTCATACTTCTGAGAAATTTTTTGTAATATTCTTAGATTTCTAATTTAAAGTCAAATTTTGCTTTATCAAAAGTTTACTCATAAACTGTTTTAGAGAGTTGTTTTGTGATCAGATTACAGGAAGCTAAATAAATAGAATACACTAGAAGAAAACTCCCACCCCCCTCTTTTTAGTTTTCAAAAGTCACATTTGCATTCTAATTAAGATTATATAAGATGTTATTTAATGACTTGTATAACAATAAAATTTTACAATTTTGTAATTTATTTTATATCAATATTGTATTTTTATTAAACAATATATACCAATAAAATGCTATTTGTTTTCACTTGATTTCTTTTCTGATGTTTTTATTTCTTTTTGATAGGCCCTGTAGATGCCATTGACAAAATTACTGGACATTTGAAGTTACTGTGATTATTTAAATAATATATTAATTTTAAAACAAAATTTTCTCCATTAACAACTCAAAAGTAAAGAAATTAAATGAAAACAGTATCATTAAATTTCTTTATCAACTACTGTTAAAATGCAAACAATATCAGGTATGTGCAACATTTAGCAGTGCTTTTGCCATCTTGCAAATATAAATGCTGCACAACATTTGTATAGCAAGTTTCAATGGGTAGAAGAATATTTTAGCATAATGTAAAGCACAGGTGTTTTTAGGGATGTACATAATTTTCATAAGCTAAATTTCTTAAACTCAAAATTAGCTTCAAAATTGATAAAACTTCGGATTTAATCATAAATTAATATACAATGAATACATTTTATTTAAAAAAAAATAGCATCTCCTTTTTTCTACCATTTGCCTGTGCATTTCAACATCATTGCAATTTAATTCTGATTGAACTCTCAATTAAATTACGCTAAGCAACAAATAAATTTCACTGTCTTCTTAACTCTTGCTTTTACTATTTTTAGCAAGATACATCTGAGGCGAAATTTCTGCATCTCAAAGTTCTGATGATGCTTGTAACCACTTTAGCTAAACTTTCAAAACATTCATCATTTGAAGTGAGCGAGCCCTCTCTTCAAATGAAACTTTAATCTTCACATTCCTGTTACTGCTTCAATTAAATAATTATCAGTCCTACTTTCTATGAACAGTTTTAAATTATAGTAGATTTCACTGAATTTGCTTGAACAAATCCAGTTTTTTTTAAATAAATTTCAATTATGATAAAGTTGCTGAATTTCAAGTGGCATGATTGCATGAATGAAATCAAAAGAGATTGTTATGCAAGTTTTTACCTCTTTGTTTATATCTGAATTAAAAATTGTTATCCTTAATAGCCTCTTCCTGCTTATAGCAGAGCAGACTTTAAAGCATTGGATGCTTTACTTAAGAGATTGTAGTTGAAAAATGATGTCTGGTTATTTGTGCAAACACAAGGATTTAATAAATGTAATGTCTTAAAAAATTTATGGGCAGAACAATTTTTAAAGCAAGAAGAATTTTCCTCTTCTGTTTATTTCTTTCAAACCTTTAAGTAGACTTTGAAGATAGAAATTCGTCAAACATTTTTATTATACAAATATCTGTTTAATATGTTACCTTTTGAAACACCAAGGCTTCTTAGATTAATTACAATAATTTTTTTTCTTATCTGCACTACCCATATCAGAAGCAAAATTCGTCAAACTATTTACGAATTTATTGTGTTTTCCTGCCAAAACATTTGCTTTTGAATGCAATTTTTTTTATCTGGCATCATTCATAAAAATAGCCAGTATCATCAGGCATCATTGGGGATTGATAATTAATCAATATTCACTTTAGAAGCAGAGGCAGACTAGCCACACAGCTATTGACAAATGCAATGAAATGTTGATCTTTAAATCTTCTAATCCATATGCCATTAGGCTTAAACTACTAGGCAGCTGCAAAATTTCTAGCCTTCTCTTCTAAAAAAATATAGCATTTGAGCAGATTATGAAAGTAATGCTTTTTCAACATGAGGATACAAAAAAGTAGAAAAACTTTTTCTATCTTATTTTATGCTGCCAGAGAAGATTTTCCATATGTTAAAAACTATAGAACCTGGAAATTAAAATTCTGGAGCAACAATCGTTTTCTTCCTACTGGTTATCAGCAGCTGATGAACTTCATTTTTGCTCAGCTACCAATTCTTGAAGCTTTCCTAACCATGTTTGATATACATGTAAAACCTTAATATAAAAATTTGTGTATTGAATGCAAAATGTAATGCAATAAAATATTAATCAGTAAAAGAGATTGAATGAATGTTTTATATCTTGTATACCAATGAATGAATACATTATGTGCACAATGTTTTGCATTAACAAAACTAGTTTGTAGAGGAATGAAAATAACATTCAACCTCTAAATCATCATAATAGCTGACACTGGATACAGATATTACAAATTAAGCTGTGAAAATATCATGTAAAGCATGATGTATCTGAATCTTTCAAGTAATGCTGTAAAAACAAAATCATGTCTGGATGAATGAACTCCCTATGGGAAGGCTGCCTTCAGAACAGAATTCTGAAAATTCTTTTATAATGAAAAAAATTAGAAAAGTGAAAATTCCTTTCCTGAATTCTTTGTTGTAAGAGAAAATCAATGCAATTATCTTTATTATTGTTTCATTTTTTCATATCTTCACCAGTAAAAGATATGAAATAGATATAAATACAATTCTGCAGATAAATTGACTTTTTCTATATCTAAAATTTGAATTCTCTTTCTTTATAATAATTGAATTATAATAAAAATATTTCTTTATAATAAATGTGTAAACTTTTTGTTTGAATATTGTTTGAATCCACATTTTACTTTTTTTTCATAATAGTTGGAATTATATTCATTGAAGAATTCTGAAATTATCAAACATTCTGGAAACTTTTTCAGATTTTCAGTAGCAGCCATCAAATACAACATATGTTGAAAAGCATTATATATCGATTAAAGAATATTAGTCACATCACTTGTATGAACATAATCTAATTATCTTGGAATGAATAATGATGAATATTTTTAAAACAAATTAAATGCAAATGAATAGTTTGGTTTAAATAATACAGTAAAAAGTCTTTAATCTGGACTCGTCAGGACTTCGGCGATTCCGGATTATTGATCATCAATTTAAATCTGGTAAGATGGCATGCAGAAATTATAAAATTAAAAATATGAAACTGTAATTTATGAAATAAAGAGCAATTATGATCTAAAAGTTATCAAAATGTACAAAAAAAAGCTTAATATTTTATTTGTTTACTTTATTAAATATTTCAACGCGCGCATGTGTAAAGCATACATTACGCATAGTCGAAATTAGAAAATTGCAATCAGAAAACTAATATTTGATGTGTATTCGTGATATTTATAATGATGAGGAATTTGATTTAAATCATATCAAAGACGGAGTACATCGAGATGAAATACTACATTTAGTAAGGAATTATAAGCCGAATAAAATAAAAACATCTGCCCTGAAGATAAGGATAGTGCTGACAGATCAACTTCCAGTTCATTGCGAGCTGCAACGTCATCCCCCCCCCCCCCCCGCAGAGCAGCAGGAAATTGATAAACAGATTTCGGAGTGGTTAGAGAAACAAATTATATGCCTTTATCCAATTTTTGCAGCAATTCCACTTTTTGTTTGATAGACATTGAAACATGCTTTCGCTGCTTAGCTGTAGATCCTTTGGGCAGCTCCAAAATTCGGAAACATTCTTTTGACATAATCGAAAATTCAAGCTTACTTTTATAAAATTGCTCTAACAGTCTGCAAAAAATAATAAGCCGGATCCAGTTCGAAGATTAAGGAACAACGCAATCTGCAACATTAACTAAAATAGATAATTAGATAATTTTAGCTTGGCTTATACCATCCGTTATACATTAAACGCGCATGCGTAAACGTGTTATGCGCATGCTTAAACGTATTATGCGCATGCACAGAAAGTTTGTAGCTTTGAGGTCCAGATTAAAGACTTGACTGTATAATCAATTTCTTTTATTATTTCAAACTTTATATGACTATTACAGTAAAATAAGGTGACCATAAATTTCGAATTTTATGGGACAGTCCCGAGTTTTCAGTCCCTGTCCCGATTTTTCATTTTTTTTTCCGAATTTATAGCATTTATCTCGAAAAACAGTAGTGTGAGAATGTAAAAGTTCAAATGCATATATTTATTTAAGTAGTGTGGATTGCAAACTGAGAATACAAGAATACAAGTGTAAATTAAGAGACATTTACCCTACCAGCCGCATGAACAGGGTATTCCCCCATCTACTTTTTACCGTAGAAAAATTGTAGTGGGGGAGTTTTCTAGTCTTATTTCTGTATTTCTTTCGTTAACCCCCCCCAACATACATAGAATTTTTGCTCACAGCTGCAGTTCAGACAGCACTGAAATTTTTAACTGATATATTAATTCGATTGTGATTTGAATTTGTAATGTATACTTATATTTTTTAATTAGCAAAGGTGCATTACGTATGTTAGTACATATCATCCCCTTACACATCATTACATGGCATCTAAAAATTATTCTTTATTTTGTAGGGTTTATATTTATTTTAAGCTATCTTTCCTGTCAAGCCTTTACTTTCCCCTGGAATTGCCAATGCCAGAGTATGTAAATTTTAGTAGAACGAGCAGAGTATTCAAATATTTAGCAGAAGCAATTTGAGTTAAATAGAAGGGAAACGAGTTCGTATGTGTGTTTTCTTGATTCACGAGCGTGAAGGTTGCTAGGTAGAAATTTAAGAACCGCGCGTTTCGGCCTGTGAACCTACTTCGGCAGTTAGTTGAATCTTTCAACTTCTTATTCAGAAAGTTTTCTGAAATCTCAGCTGTATCTTAGAACGCGGTTAAGTTAGTCATGTTTATAGAGCCTCGTAGGTAGTGGACCTTGTTATTTATTCATCCTGATTATTTATTTTTAGTTGTACTTTTCGATTTTTAGTTAACCGCCGTGTCGGCGTAGTTTGTAAGCGTCAAGTGAACACATCTGTAACTTCTAAAGTGGAATAAAAAGAGAGTTAAACCCTTCTTAAGAGTTTGTGTAATTTCCAGTTCATAGCAGTCACTACTACTGTTGCGGGCAAGTTGGGACCACGCAACATCACAAGTTATTTGCTGAAATTTCATTCTGAATACATCCATCTAAAATCATCTTTCTTTTGTCACCGTTTAGATAGAAATTTTTACTCCATCGTTATTTTGATTTGTATAAGAGTTAAAATAAAATTTTAAATCTGCCGAAATGTTGACGGGTAATGATGTTTCCCATTTGGCAGCAACATAATTTTTTTAATTATCAACAGTGCGTGATAAGAATAGCTTTTATATTTAGTTTTTACCAGTGATTTTTTTTTAGTCCAAAGGGATTTGAATCCCGAAGGACTATTAGTTTCGTTTTGGCATTTTGCGTCGGACTCATAAATGTCAGTTCACTTTTCAAACTGTTGCCACAAAATGTTAGAGTCCTGCATTATATTTGAAGAAATTAAATAATGAAAAATCTGCATAATGTATGTATATTTCTCGTATTGTGATAAAACAACGGTACATAGAGTCATCGAATTTTGAATAACGTAATCCTCCAACGAATATGAGCATGTGGAAGACCAAATTTGAAATTGTTTTATGATCGATTTCCTATTTTTTAAAACTTTGATGAATTTTTGATTAACAAACTCAAGGATTTCAAAGCGAGCAATGGCAACGTTGTGCAGAAAAAACATTTTTATCTCCAGCGCGTGAGTCTCTGTATCGGAAATTCTAAAGATATGCTCGTTTTAAAACTAGTTTGCGATATTGCTGTTGCACTGGATCTTATGGTTTAAGTGCGAGGAACATGATATTTAATAAAGAAAGGTAACACACAAAATGTTAAAAAAACGCCCCTTTGGACATAATTTAAAATCTGAAACTTTTTTTTTTTTTTTTTTTTTTTTTTTTTTTTTTGAGGAGTGTAATGGGTTTAAAAAAAAACGTGTACATTTAACAAAGACCATTTACTTGAAAAAGAAAGCGATTCCAATGTAGGATGCAATGTATGTTCTTCAAAATTTTCAATATGCCGTGGTAAATGTACAGATGTTCATATAAATAGTAGTAATAAACATAAAATGTTAATCTTTGCTGCTGCATCTAGCTCATCATTAAAGAATTTCTTCAAACAGGAGAAAATAGGTGAAAAGGAAGCAAAATTAGCTGCATTAGAAAGTACTTTTGCACACACCATACTATTTGGCACAACCGTAGCTTTAGGTCATCACAAGCTGCTTCAAATGGGATTTGAACCTAAATTGGCATGTGCGTGAACCAAAGCCGATGCAATTATACTAAATGTTCCATGCCTTACGCTTTTAAGAGCTTATTCATAATACTATAAGAACATCAGCTGATGTTTTGCCAGTTGATATAGAAATGATTATTTCTAAGGTGTGCCTTAAATCATTAATGAGTAGAAACGTTGAAAAATTTCTGCAACTTTGTAGAAACTGATTTTTCAATGATACTAGGGCATTCATAAACAATATGGTTAGCATTACATCCTGCCAATGAAAGGATCAAGCTTCAATATTTCATCAAGTTATTACAATAATTGAGAATCAAATTTCATCTGTATTTGATATAATTACTTCAACGGATGCTCTGAAAGTACAGAGTAATCAGTATTGAACAAAATAGAGGATACCTTTATCCCAGTAAACTGTTGAATTTCGAGAGGTATTGTTTCATTTTATAGGACTGCTCTTATTTGGAGAAATGGACAAAAAAGTATTTCAGGAGATAGAAATATACAGCTGGATCATATTAAATGAAATTCCCTGTTGGAGTCAAGTTGAAACAGCCTTTTTGTTCTTTGTTTGTGCCTTATCCCACCTAGTCGACAGCAACATGAGATCAGGTCCATGAACCTCTGGATTTCAAAACCCCGAAGAACAACTGCAAGACTGGAGAGCAGTTGTCTACTCATGCAACCAATTTAAGATATGGGCAGGAGTGGCTTCGGTCAAGTTGCATTTTGGGTAAAAAGGATAGGCTTTAATGCCCGGCACAAAAAATACAGCACATATGACAGTGTGCTGTATTTTTTGGCTCTGAGCTTCTCTTTAATATGTGCTAGCTAGAGCCCCAGTGTGCTAATACTTTCACTTTAATATGTGCTAGCTAGATGCTAAGCTAGAGCCGTTTGTTAAATCTATTGCTCGCCTCTGAAAGGGCAATGCCAGCATGGTTACCAGCTTAC